ACATTTTTAGTGATCATTATATACTAGTCATTAATATTTTTATTAAATAATAAAATAAATATAATTAATTTATTATTATTAAATAATTATCGGTAATAATCAATTTTGTTGTAGTGAATAAAAACTTAAAATGCATTAATCAGTTGAGAAATTTAGTGTTTGTTTCGATTTTATTGGGACCCCAAAATTATGGCTTAAGGAAAAATTACAAAACACAACCTTTCAATTAAGAAACAGTTTATTTAGCTTTTCTTCTTCCTATTGTTGTTAATTATATTGCTGTTGTTCCTTTGTGGTTGACTCTATTAAGTATTAAGAATGCCAGAAGATTTTAATTTCTTCTGCGCTTTATTGTTAACATCTGCAATGCAAAAGTCTACTAAATTACTTTATGTTCTTGTTGATAATGTCTTAACAATAATTACAATATCAAAACAAAGTGGGTAGCACAGTGTTCTTAATTAGAAGTTGGAATTTAATTTATGGCTTGAATATAAAGGTATGACTTTATTTTTGTAGAAGTTTAGAATGAGAAACTTTTTATAAATAAAATAAATGTGTTTTTCAATCACTTTTGATAATGACTCATTGCAATGGTCATGTTGCAGTCATTACCAATCTCCATGTGACTGGTTTGGGTAGTGAAGACAATTATCGCAGTTAAGCATGCATTTGGTTTTCTAGCAATAATCAAGTCTGATAGGAAGATCGGTTATGACTACAATATAAATTTTGTTGCTTCAAAAAACTGTATATTCTGATGTTAATATAATCTTATCCGTTTTCTTTGATCGAATAAGAATTATAATGATATTAATAAGTTTTAAATTTAAGATTTTATCTATACATAGAAAAGATTTTTTTTACTTTCTTACACATAATTTTAGACTGTTTTATCTTTAAATTTGTAAATAATAATTATTAAAAATTAAATATTTTTATAAATTCAAAACTTAAATTCAAGATCTTGAAATATTTAAAAAATCATCATAACACTAATTAATTCAACAAATATTAATAATTTTTAAATATTTTTAATAAATATAGAAGTATGGGATGTCACTTATATATATATTATATTATTTTAATCTCTCATAGTCGAATATAATGTTGAAAATTTTATCCATTAGTCTCCTGTTTCTTTACAGAACTAAATTCTTAAAGCTACATAATTCCAAAATGATGACTTGTTTCACTAAAAAGTTCATTTTATCTTGGGTCTATAAAATACTTAACTTTTTGGTGATTTTAATCTTTAGGTTTGTATGACAAAACTCATGTGCTGGAGATATTTTTTCTTGATAGCTATTTTATATATCTATCTTTTAACAAAACAGAACATTAGTATTCTATTTTTTGATCAATTTTTCTCTCTTTGAATAGTCTAATTTAAACTTTCGATTTTTCCCTTTTGTTTTTGATTTTGAGGAAAGGGATCGGTAGTCCTTTACACCTAGTTTAGTATTTATTACTTGCTTTGCTTTATGTTTTATGATCACTAGGTTCCATTTGCTTCAAAATGAAATACTTTACAGAAACCCTATTTTAGGAGTATTTCACTTGATATCGAGATAAGTTTGTTTTACCTTTTCTATAATTTTATAAAAAATGCATTAACCTAGTTGCATCTACACCTGACACTTTAATATATTGTTGTATATAATGGAAATTGTGGACTAGTTACAATGAACTGAAACTTCTAATTGATATCTGAGATTCAAGAGTTTTGTTAGTGTGCATGTTAGAGTCACTTGGAATAATTGCCATGGGGTAAGGGTGCATGCACCCTTTTGGGTATATTTTACTTCACTTAATTAGTACTTCATTCATGCAACTTTGTCTTTGTACCATAATTTATTTTAGACTCAAAGAAGAGTTGAAAGCCATAACCAGTATGTGAGTGAATTCACTAATTCTTAGTTGGTTTTGTAATTTGGCTGCATACCATATAGTTTGGACCCACCAAACGCGTAGATCAATTGGTATGGAATTAACTTAATAATTGATTTAAAGTATCAACTTTAAATATACAATTATATTGAATATTCAAAAAGAAAATTTTGTTATCCGTAATAATTTTACTTGAATATTCAAATAGTGTTGTTTGTGTTAGAAGATATATTAGTCTATGCCTAAAAAAAAATACCATTTATTTTGAATGGATTTGGCTGGCCATATTCTATTGTATATTTTGATTATTCTATGATATATATAGCTGAACTTTAAGAAGGATTAATTAGCAAAAATGAAGCCGTGAATGCACTTTACAAAGTTATTTAATCATGGATCGTTACGTATAATAAAAATGATGAATTTTGTAATAATTTATTTTAAAAATCATAATTAGGGTGATTTTGAATTGGTTCACAATATAATTAAAAACTTTATACTGTCTATGTCTGTTTGGAAACTTATTAAACACGCACATATTTTGCAAAAACCACATCAAATTGACATATTTATGCATAAGCTACAACTTGCATTAAATTTGTGTAGACGCATAAACAAACACGATGTGAGAGTGTATTAAAACTAAACTCAAATTTTATATCAATCTTCTATCGAGATCACTCTGTGTATTATTTGTCTGCCACAAAATTCCTATTTGATTTACTTTTTTCTGCTTTCTGCATCAATAATCATAGCTGAAATAAGTAATGAGAGAAAGAGAGGGAGAGTCGATGATAATGTTACATTTTGAAGTGATCTAATGAAAGAGTTGTTTGGCCCTTTTCTTGCAACATTTTGAATTTGAATTATAACGGGTTAATCAGGTATGGTCCAATAATGGTAGAGATCTAAAACAAGATTTGAGACACTTTTATACTTAAAATAAAAAATTATGACATTTCTTATTTTACAAAACTTAATAACAAAAGTTTTTAGTTTTATACTAGAAATAAAAAAAAAACTATATGTTGAACCTTTTTATTAATATATATGATTTTTTGATTTTATAAAATGTAATAGTAAATAATTTTTAGTTAATGAATCTAAAACTTAAACTTCGGTAATTTTATCCTCGAATCTACACTTGTTATGATAGATTATATATTTGATCTACTTCTTTTTTTTTATTGATGTAAAGAACTATTATAATTATAATTCTATATTGTTACATTACTATCAATGGAGAAATATAATTTAATTTTTTAAAATTTATTTATTCAGTGTAAAATACTTTTCCAATATAAAAATTCGGGATACAAGGTATTAAATTATTTGTTCGGCATATTAAAGACGATCTCAAACAGTTCTATAGTAAAATATCATTAATTTATGTTTGATTTGTACCCCTAATTTAATTATATATATGTATATTGTATTATTTTAAAAATAAAATCTTGAAAAATAAAAGAAATAAAATTTATATCATGTTTTAAAAATTTATACACTTCAAAAAAATTAATCTTTAAATAATACTTTTAAAAAAATTAGCCTTTAATTAAAAAAAAATGCACCGCACTACCTACTAACTAACTAATTTTCATAGATTTTTTTTTGGACTTTGTCTACTAAAAAATTTGTTTTTTTTTTTTTGAAGAAATTTTAAAAATAGGTTACCTCAAACGCTACCTAAATTACCTACCCAAAGAAGAAAAAGGCTACCTAAATAACGAGTTGTAACAAACTAAAACCAAAGATTTATGACACGTTTTAAAATTTATAAAGTTGGTGTCAAATTTTTTTGTACACGTTAAAATATTTAATCTTTAAATAGTACTTCAAAAAAATTAAACTTTAATAAAGAAAAAACACATTCATGGCACTCCCCACTAACCAATTAATTTTTAAAAACCTCTTTTTTTTTTTTGTTAAAAAAGTATTATTTTTATTTATTAAATCATGTTCGGTCCATTTATTTATCTCCTAAAGAATAAAGAAATTTAAAAAATAGGTTACATGAAAGGGTACCTAAGTAGTGTTTCAACCACGGTTTCACCTTTTTATTACAGAACACGCTTGGTTGTGAGCTCAATGTCGTGGACCCAAAGAAAGCAACATTGATCTAAACCTTTGCTTTAACTTGAGTATACAAGAAGGGTCACTTATAGATTAAAATTTAATCCTCATGAGGGAACATACTTTATTGGAAAATTGATCACCGTCCATCATCACAAATTAATGCATGGAGGGTGAGCCCTCATTTTATTTTTTATTTTTTATTTTTATTTTTTTAATTTTTCTTTCTTTATTTTTTTTTAAAGGAAGAATTCTCCATATTGTCCTAGCTCTAGCTGTAAGGGAGAAACCCGTGATGGCTTTCCCTTTAAACAATTTCATTTTGTGTGATACGATAAGATTGTTGTCATTAGGTGAGTGGGCAGAATCAGAAGATTCAGAAGTGTCCACTTTACTTGTGTTGGGTAAATAAAAAATCAAATGCTTTAGATTTACTTAGGTTAGTGGTGAATCTAGTTATTATGGAGTTTTTTTTTTTTTTTTTTTATTCTTTATTTAAGAATGAATCTAGTTAAGAGAAATTTTCTGTACATACTTCCATCTTATATTTTAAAAATCAAAATAATATGAAATCAGACATAGAAAGGGTCAGGTACATTATTTTCCCTCGCAATTCATCTTTGATTCTCAGTGCAACAACTTCCTTATTCTCCTACGCCACAATTAAGGTGTGTCACCAACAGTTCACAAGATGAATATCAAATCGTGCCTTGGTCCGAATAATACTATATTTGATTAAAGTCTTTGATTCAAATTTTTTCATATAAAAAACATGGTTAGAAAAAGAGATTCAACAAAGACTGTTGGCCAAAATTTACTATAAAAATTTGTATTCAACGAAATCAACAAATATCTTGTAGAAAAAAAAATATATATATCCGACATTAGGAATCAGGTGGCGGCTATACTTATCCAAACTTCCATTAACAAAAATTTTTAATTAACAGATGAAAGCATCTTAAGTAATTAAGATCACCTTGGTCTAAAATGAGAAAATATGGGGCCCTCTACATGCTCCAAAGTCGAAATATTACAACACCATGCTTTGAATAATTCTTTTAACAACAGTCATGTAGACCCATTTGCATGTACCATTCTTTCAATTGCTTACCAGAACAAGCATGGAAGCAACCGGAGAAAAAGCATGGCATTTTCTGCATGTGGTTCGGAATATGGAAGTAAATTCTATGCTATTTATGGCATAGCAACCATCTTGTGTCTTCCTTTATAATCCCTATGCAAATCCAATATAGAAGATTAACCTAACCATGTCCCTATCTATGTAAGTACCCTGAGGCTGAAACAGTATCCCCTTTATATGCATACCCTTCTGATCTATTATATTGACCTATTCACCCTTCAAGGAAAATATTATTTTTCTTTCTAATTTTTCTCCATCTCTTTAGATCATCACAGCTTCAGAGGCATGGTTTTAGGATTCAACTCCCAAGGCTTTCTCTATTATCTTTGATTCAAGGGGGTTCTGTGAGTTTTCTTGTTTTGGTTTGACTTTGTTGGATAGATTTGTTAAGGGAAAATTGCAGTTTCTGATTTGTTGAAACTGCAAAATTTAAGGGTCTCAAAGTAGCATTAGAATTGTTCATGGTCATGGATGTTTGTTAGTAATGTTCTTAGTTCTTATATACTACTAGAAAGTAGTGATTGAAGTTTCAACTACCACTATTGGTGTAGTGTGTTCGGAGCCAAATCTTTAACGTGAATCGTCACTCTATCTCTACATTCAACAGAAACAATAAAAAGTAACTTGTGCATCAATTGAACCTGTGGTGTGTTGATGTGATTTTGTGACGTTGTTCTAAATACGCTATACAATCTCAATTGAGTTAAAACTAAGCAATTAAAAGCCTTTAAGGTGAATTTGGATCAATGGTTTCTTCTGTCTTTACCCTTATCTGTGTTCTTCATGCCTCAATAGCTCTTACTTGTGGAGCTTTGATGATATTTTACTCCAAAGAGATCTCTGTGCTTGGCCATGGACCAGAAACTGCAAGCAAGCTTAAAGGGACAACACCCCATGATCAGCTTTTGATTGAGACCTCTGACTCCTTCTCTGGCTTGTTGTTGTTCACAATAGGGTTATTTCTTTTGATGGTTGCCTTTGTTAAGGACAGAGAGTTTCAAAGTTTCTTTGCCAAAGGGTGTGTGATGCTCCACATTTCCATGGCAGTGTGGAGATTCTTCTTTGAGAGGAAGCTTGGAGATCTGGCACATGAATGGCCTAGGCATGCTGTTGGGGACATTGCACTGGCCATTTCATGGGTCTTCTTTCTTGTGTACACATGGAGAGAGAAATATGATTAGTTAGTTTATCTTATTGCAACAAGTTTTGGTGCTTGTGGTAACAACATGGCCCCAAAAAAGGTTGAGTTGTTTTAGTTGGATTGGAAGGAACCAATGTTTTCACTTCAATGTTGTTTGGACACTTCAAAGGGATAATTTAATTTGAGGAAATTTTGGGTCTCAATTGGCCTTGTGAATGCTCAAATTCTTGACATGAATGGAGAACCATTATAGAGTTATGGTCTTGTTCAAAGAAAGGATGGAATAGCTTTGGAGGACCACAGATTCTTTGTGACATTATTTAGAATCTGGGTTGGGTTGGGTTGGCAACTTTCCTTGATTGATGCAATTTGGGAACTCTAATTAATGTGATCTTCATTTTCTGCACAAGGAGTGTGTAGTTTGTAAGTTGAGTAGTATACATGTGTTGTTGTAAATTTCTTGTAGCCAATTTGATTTTTATGGATAAAAAACAAACTTTATTTTCCTTTCATCCTTGAAAATGTACCAGTTTCTATTACCCACTTCTGGCTTCAATTGAGAAAGTTCTGAATGTGTATTTTTCTGGTTTGCATCCATAACATTGGTGCAGGTATGGCCATTTAGGATTTGGCATGTTGCTTGATCCCTAGGGAGGTGGCTTCAAGAAAAATAGTAGCTTCTATTTCAAATTGAGAGACAATAACAAGGATTTTTTTTTTCTTTTTCTCTTCATAATGGTTCAACTACAAGTCATGTCCTTCACGATGTTGATTTGTTCTTTTTCCTTTCTTTTTGTTTTCTCTTTCCTTTTATTTAAAGTAGATGCTTCCCATCTAGCATCCTGATTTTGTTTTAATATATTAGTGTTTTGAAGAATAAATTGATGAATGACTTTTTTCTTTCTCTCTCTCTCAACTTTCCTTTTTCAAATTGTTAATTTAACAATGTAAAGTAATTCAAAGGAAATTACTAAGTATATACTTAATTTCTTTTTTATTCATTTCCATCTTATTTTTCTTCTAATATTCCTCTTCTTTTCTTTCATGTCATTTGTTAGGCAAAAATCTACGTTGATCCCGACATTTGTAATGTAAAATTGTTATAGAATTCACGTGGTTCAGGTAGTGATTGTGTTTACACCATTAGATATGAATACAATGTCTACAATTCTTATTCGCAAGAAAAGAGAGAATGTTGAGAAAGAGAGAAGAGAGAACAACTCTCTATATCTAATTCCTCCCACCAATTCGCAATATTTAGAAATGATCGACTATAATTAATGATGAGAATACAAATTAATTAATTTTAAAATATTTGATCATTAAAATTAATTAAAATTATAACGGTCATATTATTATATTTTATTAAAATTAACAATGATTAAGTTTTAAAATTTTTAATTAATAGAATATTTTAAATTTAAATTTAAATTTAATATAATTTCATGAAGAAATTATACTTTTGAAATTTCTTAAAATATATAACACTATTTACATTAGAAAAAAATATTATGTATCTCTCTATATTTATTTAAAAAATAAAATAATAGAAGATATATAATAATGAGTAATTGTATTTAGATGTGAGTGATTTAAGGGAGTATATGGCGTATATATATTGTTATAAATAAATAAAAATAATTATTTTGTGTGAGAATAATTTTAAAATTTTTTATTGAATAATTAATTTTAAACATTTTTCTTTGATGAGAAGAGTTTAATTTTTCTTATTATTTATTTTAACTTATTGTATATTTTAATTTATATTTATCATATTTATTTTTGAATTAACTTTTCATATTTTAAAATAAATTATTAATCATTAAAAGTAATTTATATCATAATATAAATTATTTATTATAATTTTAAAAATATAATTTATATGTCTAAAAATATAAATTTTAACATACCAAAATACTTTTTATTCAAATACTTGCATTATTCCAACGCTAATAGTTATATTAATTTTGAAAAATATTAAAATATATTTTATATTCTATTTTTCACATGATTAAATAAATAAATAATTTTTTTTGAAAATTAAATAAATAAGCTAAAATTTTGAAAAAAGTTACCTTCTACAAATACAAGTACTTTTTCACGAAAATATAAATATTGGAATGAATACAAATAAAAAAAATCAAATATTTAAAATTATGTATTAAAAAAGTAATAATAAAGAAAAATAAACACTATTATTTAGCCTAAGTTGAAGAAGCCACCAGAATACTCTTTCTGGTCCATTGTAAGACTTGGAAATTGGTTTTGGTTTGGAACAGCAAAACACAGGCAGCCTCGTATACCATACCTCAGACTCGGAGGAGACTGTAAGTTCTTTTCTATTTGTCATTCTTTCTTTTACACTCTATTAACAACAAACCCTTGTTAACTCTTCTCCATATTCGTTATTTTATACCTCTGTTAATTTTCCCATGCTCTTAGATCGATTGCATAGAGTTTTTTCCGTTCTTTGGGTGAAATTTGTTGTTAATTGATGCTTTGATTTGGTTCACCATTGTTAAATTTGGTGTTGATGAGTGCTGGTTTGATTAATTATGCTTCTTATTCACGAAAGAGGGGAAAAATTGTTCATAACATTGCAGCATCGCCTCCACTGTCCTCTAGATTCCCCTCTCAAACGAAAATTTTCGCAAAATGAATTCAATATGTGCTATATCAATATAGATTACTCTACATAGTAGTGATCAAGGTTTTAAATTGCAACTGTGGTCGTGAACACCCGAAAAACCCTGGCTTTATGGCTGAAATCACGGTCGCAGACTGAGACTGGTTTTTAAAATCTTGGTGTGATGAAAGAGCATTTGCTTCCTTGGTACTGTTAGTTTGCAGTTTCAGGGTCTGTTTGAATATATGTTTAGAAGTATTTTTATGAATTTCCCTACTGAAAACTATTCTTTGCTTTTGGTAGAGAAGTTCTCAAAAGTGGTTCTAGCTTATAACCAAACAGGTTCTAGGTCATCAAAGTCAAATAAGTTCCTTGCATCCTGAGCTTCTATATGCAGTGTAGGTGGTGTTGTGTATGTGTTGGATTTTGGTGCTGGAAATTGTATAAGCTCTATTTGGTAGAATAAAGGTGTGGCGACGAAGTTATTACTTGGATCAATAGCTACATTGACTAATGGTTTGTTGTTAATGATGAACCCCACTAATTGTAGTGAGACGCCACTAGTTGTAGAAGCAAACCTTGGCTTCAAAAGCTAGTAGCTCTACTGAACAAAAAGAAACATGGCAGCATATGACAATACCTACCTGTATCACTATTCACAAAGTTATGCCTTTCAAAATCCATGGAAATATCAATGCTCCAGTCAATATTTCTTTTACCAAACATGAACAGTTGTTCATTATTTATGTCACATACTTCATACATGTAGATTCTATTATGGCACGGTGGTTGTTGTTTGACACTGTTAGTAAAGAGGGGGTAAAGTCCCTATTATATTACTTTTCATGATGAATGCCACTAGTTGTAGAGAGGGGGTAAAGTCTCTGGGACAGCAAGTATATTGCTGTATTGTGTGATTTCAGTGTTCCAACAGTCTTTTATTACTTTTATCAATTGGTGTTCTATCAGTCTCTGTTGAAGATCCCACCAAAAGCATTGTTTTGGGTAGGCCTAGAGTGAAGTCATAAGTGTCTTTTGTTGAGTAAGTCATAGGTAAACAAAGATATTATTCCAGAAGTAAGAATTGTATTTTTGTACAAATTAAGCAATGCAAATATTTAATAGTTTGTGTGGTTCTGATATGAAAATGATTCCCATGGAGAAGTAGAGAACAGTATTATGTGAAAACTGAGAAAGTAAACAAAGGAAAGAGTAAAATACTTCCAGCTAAGGAGGAACACTTCTTGCTCAAGCTCAAGGCTTACAATATGTCAAAATGTGTGAATGACCGCCTCGCCTGAAACACCCATCTCAATTATATCAGATTCCATTATCTCTCTCCTCTAACTAATCCCCTTGACATCATTTCTTTTCTAACTAACTCACATCCTGCATTTAGCCTTAGCTGTCTTAGCACTTGGGGAATATACTTGTTGGACCTTAGTTTTGAGCTTAACTGACTGTGAGTCAGCATTCCTATCAGGTTGTTCCTTAATATTAATAATCAAAATATTTATTCTGAACAATTGCTCCTCAGGTAGCTTATCATTCTTCTAAGCTGTAGTTACAGTTTCGAAATTTTGACTCCAAAACAGTTATGTCAAAAAGATGGAAAATTAAACATTTCAGTTGAAGAAACAAAGAGTAGCTTCGGTTACATAAATCCCACTATCCAAGGAATATACATGTACTTTGATTATTGTCATGTCTTTCATGGCCGAAGTCTTTGAATATTTGGTTTTTCCGGGATGTATTTTATAAATGTCTATCTTCAAATTGCTGTTGTTTTATTCTCTAGTATTCTTGGTTGAAAAATATGTTTGTTTAGTTATTGTTGCTTGGTGTAGTGAATTGCAACATTGCTTTTACATACAAGGATATTTAATTTAATGTTGATTCATAGTACTTCATAGTTATTCTGTATCATTGATGAGCCCGTTGAATGTATGTTTTGCAGCTCAGTATAGTGACATAGTTTGATTAAAGTTTTCAACATTGTTTATACTTACATGGCTATTTAACGTGGATTTGTATTAGTTCATGGTTACTCCATATATCATTGATGAGCCTATTGAATACTTAACTTCAATGATGAGTGTTAGGCCAGTCACAAATGGGTACAGGAGAGGCAAAGTTAGACCCAATAGCAGTATCAAGCGGTTGTGTTTCAGTCATGAGACACAGGAGAGTGAATATTTATATTAGGTGTCATAGATACAAGGATATACACTAACCCGATACAAGAGTACAATCTTCCATATTTACAATATTACTATAATTACAAATTTACAAATTCTAATTGTAACATTAAGTTTATTACGTTTGGTTGTGCTCCACTGACATTTTATTTCTAAATATATTTCATTTGTTTATATTCTCTCCCCTCTCTTTTGTTACACTTGTTACTCATTATCCTTATCATTATTTTGTTCTTTAGAAGATACAAAGACAATGAGTGGTTGTCAACTGCAAAATGCTTCCCCTGCCTTGACCTTACAAGCATCACAAAAAAACGAAGGTTCAGTGACTGTGGAAACCGGTATAGAATCAAAGCCAAAGAAGAAAATCTGCTGTGCTTGCCCGGACACTAAGAGGTTGCGTGATGAATGCATAGTACAGCATGGTGAAGCAGCTTGTGCAAAATGGATTGAGGCTCATCGACTCTGCCTCCGTGCTGAGGGATTCAATGTTTGAGGTTGATAGTAAGGAAAGGAGAAAAAGACATTAGCAGATTAAGTCAGTTTATTTTATGAAATTGATATAGATTTTGGGTTGCAGTTTACAGGTAGACAGATGAAATTTTGAATAAAAGTAGGAAAATTGAATTCTACATGCAATTCATAATTTATTACTTTTTAACTTTTTCAACCGGCAGGTTCTACCGTGTTAGTTTTGTTGAGACTGAAATATTTAAATGAAATTTTACAAATTTTAATATTCTCATTTTCCTGCTGTGTTTTAGTTTTTGCTGTGGTGTGTAGCTGTTATTGATTTATATATTTATTTTATTCAATTCAATTGGTTGGCTGATAGGTGCTGTTAATGAATACATCGGTACATCCTCTTGCCTGATTTTCTTCCATTTTTCTTTTGGTCCCTCTCATGGAGGAGCAATTAGCAAACAGTTATTTTAGAAATCTCAAGGTGAAGGAATTGTAATTGTTTCCCTCACTTGATACTTGTGGTTATTATGTGTTGCACTTAGAGTAAGGAGCAAGGTTTACACTTTACAATGCTTTTGTTCTGAATCTTGAACTAAAACGTTTGCTAGAGCAATATAGCATTTCATCACGATGCATGGATGTATATGTCGAAGGTTGTCACGTCCAGATTCAGATAGTGAATTGTCGAGCTACTTTTTATTCGTGAATCATAATTTGCCTCAAATCATAATTTGTATCAAATTGCAAGACTCAAAGAAAAAAAATACTCAAAATAAGTTATACAGTGTTGTTCAATGTAAATTTTTTTAAATTAGAAATAGATAAAAACAACTTAACCAGAACTCTTATAAAATTATGAGTTTGTGAAGTCTTCAATTTAGAATGGAAATGAAACAATTAAATAGCTAAAATTGAACATACGCGTTGATTGATAGAGTGACAAAAATTGTAGTGAAATAATCAAATAGGATAAGTTTAAAATTGTTCTTATATATTTTTTTTTTTTTTCATTTAAAATATTAAACTTACATGATTTTCCAGTTTATTCATGAGAATTGGTGATGTAAAAAAGTACAAATTATAAAGAATCCTTGAATTACGAGACTCACATCCATCATACAGAATCGCATAATTCATTCATGTACGGTAAGAATCAAAGTAATTTAAGATTTATCTTATGATATAAATCCCTAAGTATTCGAATTATATTCAATCATAAGATTTGAACTGTGATCGTAAAATTTTATAACTGTGTCCAAGCATCTTTATTTAGCTAATTAAAATTGTATTGGATAATGTCATTTTAAATCTATACTTTAGCAACTGATTCAATTGGTCTCTTCAGTTAAGGCAGTACGAATCATAGGTATTGAGATGAAAAACAAACTACACCCTGAAAACAGTCCCACTTAATTGGTTATCTTTACATCTGCACTCACTACCAGCTTCTTAACAGTTCAGCTCCTTTCCTTACCTAGATTTGGAATAGATTTCAAACTCTGTGATCACTGTTCTTTTAATTAGTCTGAGTTTTTATTTTCTCATCATGTGTATAAGTAGAAGCATTATGCTGATGTAGATGCTAGTGTCCATATAGCTGCATTAAAAGAGATTATCAAAGAGAGAGTTACACTTATTTTAGTCTATTTAAACATAGAATGCCACAACCATGGCTGTTATATAACTATGACAGGAACTGAACATGATTTAGACTGCATCCACTACACTGACCTGAAGTAGGATAACAGCACACACATTTATTCATATATGAAGTTACATTATTTGGGGGTTTGTATTGCCAACTACTACATGGCAATTACATTTTCATACATTAATTAATTCCTTAATGGCCACAGGTGCAGTCCACACAAGTGCAGCTAGGGCCACACTTGCAGTTCCCATTGTGCTCAGCAGCTGCAACATCCATGACTACAGTCTCATTGTAGCTGAGAAAAAAAAAATAGAAAAGTGAAGACAGTTATAATAAGATTTTTATTTCTTGGTGTAACATACTTGTAGGCTTTGCATTATGAGTCCTGGAATGATTAGACCATAGTCCACACTCCACAGGACTGTTTACTTTGAGAAAATGCTTGCTGTTTTTACTTTTTAATGACAAAAAAGTCACCTTATTTTTGTTTTCAAAAGTTTATACACAAAGCACTGAAAATAATTTTATTATTTTCTGTTTTGACATTTGGTAAACAAATTTAAAAAAAATATATATTTTTTCTCAAACCAAATATAATGGACACCAAATTAAAGTGAACTTTTTACCTCTTCTCAGTCTCTACAATGACAATACCATTGTTGTTTCCCTTCCTGCATGGCATAGTATGTAAGAATAGAAGTAAAACATTGTGACACGAATACAAAACACGATTAATGTCCAAAATTTAGAACATGGGAACATGATATATATGTATAAGCTTCACAATTAATGATTTTCTCTCTTAAAATATAAAACAACCGATAATTTTTATGAAAATAAGTCTCACAAAGGATAAAATAAGATGTTATAAGCTTTACGGTATTTGAAAATAAGTTAACTTTTAATTTTTTTTTATAGTAAGAATTTTAGATAAGTGTTTAATTAGTAAGTGTTAGTATACTCTCTTCTTATGTCTAAGTCATGTCAGAAAATTTTTTAAATATTATTTTATACATGCAAAAAAGAAATAAGCACTTACGTGCATTGATTCTTGTCACTGCAGTCACAGTTGCCGCATGTGCTCGACATGTTTGGTTTTGAGGAAGAAAGCAAAGTACTAGAAATGAACTTAGTCTTGAATTCAAAGCTTTGTATGGTGCTGCTATGCTTCCAAGCATTGAACTATGAACCAGTATTTATAGTGGAAGAAAGAGCAAATCTTACTAGCGTTGATTGGGGTTCCTCTTTTATTGTGGACCTCACAAGGCATGAGGGGCTAATGAACTCTGAAGAATTGTTATCTGAAGGAATCTGAATTATGGAGGCTTGGCCTCCTTTGCTCCTCTCATGTCAACTTAATTAGGTGCTTGGGAGAGACAATCGCATATTATTATTCTTAGAGTAAATGATCATTTTCTTCTATCATATTAGTATATGAAATTGGAAAAATGTCAAATAAATCTATGAAAATGTAAATGTACAATCATATACTAGAACAAAATGCATTTTTAATAACCTTAAAAAATGTTGCTAAATTATAAATAAATGTTGCTAATATACTTTTATGACATTTTATTGAATATAATTAGATAAATTTTATGTTACTAAATATTTTAACTAAAATAATGTTTGATCGATGAAAGTCACGTCTTATGAGTGAGAATCAATTCTTGATTATTAGTTTAATTTGAGATGTGTAGACTATATCTATTAGAAAAAAAGTCTTTTAATAACATTTTTATATATTAATTGATAATATTTAAAAAAAAGTTATCAAAGTGATATTTTGTATCATCTAGAACTATTATGAAGATAATACTTATTTTTGTGTACACATTTACTTTAATATTTTTACCTTTAACAATAATATATTTGTGAGTTATTAAAAGGTAAAATTTGAAAACCAAATAACTGTTACACAATTTTTTTTAAAAAGAAAATAATTAATATTGTTTGCTCTCTTTTTCCAGTCTTTTAGACTTTTTTAAAACATTTTTTTACTTTTTTTTTATTTTTTTATTTTTATTTTTTAAACATAAAGGCACTGAGTGCCTCATTTTTTATAATTTTAATAATATTACTATACTTTTATAAACTTTATGAAATGATAATTAATTAATATTAAGTTAATATGTTTTTGTACTATCATTTATAATTTATGATTTTTGTTTGCAAATCCTTTAAGGTGAAGGATATCTTAAGTTATTCATCACCAAATTTATGTCGGTTCATTTATCTTAAGTTATATATCTTATATGTGTCATTTTTTTACTCGATGTAGAATTTTAATTTTGAAAAATAATTAAAGCTTAAAGAAATATATTATTTATCTGTCATTCTTTTATTCGATGCGGGATTTAATTATTGAGATAAAAATATTACTCTATCTATAATAATATTTTTTGAAGAAAAAAATGTTAAAATAACCTATTAACTTAATCAATAGTAATATTTTAATAAATATAAGTAGAGAAATGTTGTTAAAGATATTAAATATTAGTCCAAAATTTATTTAAAAAAATGTATAACTAATGAGATAATATTAATATATATTTTGAAGTCAAAATGATAATGAAAATAATTATATTTACGGGCATATTTAACATTCTAGGAACTTAATTACTTGATATTTTTTAAGTTTTAGGAATTAACATGATATAGTGATGACAATTTTGGGAGACCAAGATATCATTCAATCGATATTCTTAGTTCGCAGTGCTTCTTGGTTCAATTTCTTTCTGTCCCTTTTCAAATGTAATGACAATTGATACTACCTTATCATAATTTTTGTTTGATTATAACTTATTACTTTATTCTACTTTGAAGTTTTTGTTCTTTCATTGTCATCTTTTTCACTCCTTCAATCTCCTTTTTGAATAGTACTTATTCTGCAGAAGCATGTGTCAATATGTAGGATATTTCTGCGAAATGGTCCCATGGATTTCTAATCACGAGCTCAGTTGTGGAAATATGGACTTCTTCTCTTTGGGTTTAAAGTTAAAGATATGCAAGAATTTTGTGTCACTATCAATATATTCGGATCAAGTGGATGTCATTTTAAAATAAAGTGGATTATATTTGTCTTTGAAATTTTGTAGGAGTGAAAGGGTTTACTTTTGCTGTGTAGTTATGCTGCCAAGGTTGGAATTAAGATGATTATCATTTTAATTCTACTTCTTGCAATAATAATAATATAGTAATTTTAGGTACAATTTCAACGTGAATATAATGAATAGTTATTTGTAGTTTTAATATAGGATAAATTGTTTTTTTTTTCACCTACTTTTGTCGATATGTAAGAATTTCGGTTCTATTATTAATTTAGTGTTTATTGACTGATAAATTTTGACATTATTAAATAATTTGTCATGTGATATGATATTATTAATGTGAGATATGATGATAAAAATTAAGAAATAATATAAAAAAAATTGTTTGTATTTATATTATGAGTGATTAATATTTATTTTATTAATAAAAATTTTATTTGTATATTTTTTTAAATTTTTTTTAATTTCTAAATAATGTTATTAAATGTGACATTACCTTTTTTTTATTAGTGGGATAAAAGAAATAACAAAAGAAAAGAAAAAACAAACTAATTACTTCTTAAATATAATGTCATATCA